GAAAGCTCATCAACATTAGAGCTTTGATTGTCAGACTATCATCAGTTTTGCTACAGCTGTTACAACTGTAGAGATTTGCTTCCTTGATCTTTTCTTTGTGTGAGCAGGCTGGAGTTAAATATGATACCTGGAAGGAAGTGTTATTACCTCTAAAGCCCATCACTAAGGTGAATGTGAAGACTTATTCTGAGCATTCAATTTTTGGCTAGAGAGGAGGATTTTCTCGGAGCAATGGAATGGAGACATTTTTTGCTTCTACCTCTGTTGCTTCAACATCTAGACCATCTACCTCACGTGCTTCTACATCTCGAGGTGATTCTACTAAGACCCAAGATCAATTATTGCAGAGGATGATGGATAATGTTAATTTTACCGCTGATAGGGTACAAAATTTAGAGCATTTTACAGAATAAATTAATAGGTATAATAGGAGAAAAAGTGATTATGAAGAGAAATTTCACTCATCTTTGGAGAGCCTCATTAGGGGTAACCAAGGAATGTAATTTCCTTCATATCCTAGATACCCTGATTATGAGTCTACAAAAGTTTGGGATAGCGGTGATTCAGAAGATGAAGAGTAGAGTAGAGAGATTTATTTCATGATTGTAATATGATATGAATTATGTGGTCTGGGCTTGCCACACTTGCATTTGTGTGTTGATTTGAACTATGTGATGTGATTTGTACTTTTATGTTTCTATGTGATGTATGTGATGTGATTTGTACTTTTATGTTTAAGTGAGAATTGTGATGTGATGTGTTTTCATGTTTTGGACTTGAGACATGTATGTATGTTTACTTGTTTAGATATTGTGATGTGTGAAACTTTTATTGTATTGTAATGTTTGTGCAAGTTACTAGTTTGTTTTAAAATTCTAGGGTAGTAACTATTGTAAGTTTTGTGATTTAGTTAGTTCAGAACTTAACTTAATTTTATATCTGTTGTAAAGTTGAAAATCATGTTAACTTAGGTCTTAAATTTGAAACTTAGGAAACTACTACCCTGTATTTTTCTTTTATCATGTTAGTGTGTTTGTTTTTATGTTGAGATCGTGAAATCAAGTTAGTGTTTTAGTTTACTTTTATGTTTATACCCACTGCTTAGAAGTCTATTGAATCTCTACATGCTAAATTGAACTGAAAATATAGAAAATTTGATCAAAAATTAATTTTACTCCTATTTTTAGTTTTATACTTATATCATTAGGGTTTAAAAATCCCCGTTAGTATGTTATTTTAAATTTTTATTCCTGCTTATATATATCTGATGCTAAACTGTTTAATCTGTTAAAAATTTAAGTTTGGGGGGATGAAAATATTTTCAAAACTGGAATTTTATTTGTTCTCAAATGTGTTACAAGTGAATTTGATTTGAAAAGAAAAAAAAAATTGATTATATATATGAAGTTATATTAGGGAAGTAAAATTTGATTTTAGAAATGAGTAAGAAAATTT